CACGTTTTTGGCTTGTTTAAGAAGATCATTTGCTGCCAAGTTTCTATAGCCCAAGTGGATGATGTCCCCTAAAAAAATCTCACTTAAATATTTCACCAAATATTATTTTTTTTCAAATTCTACATTTTCCACTAAAATTAATAATTAACCCCCTCCCAACATAATTAGGTAATATCTTAATTCACTTAAAATACTAATCACTTTTAACATACTTTATACACCTTACTATCATGGTCATGTGGTACCTTGTATGACACTAGTCCATAAATACGGGGTATTATAGCTCAAACCGTATTTTATCCCAAAATGACAAACTTCGACGAAACTCATTTCCTTCGATTCGCTTACCCTCTCACCTTCACGAATTTACTCATCACTTATTTGAAATAGCGTAATACTTATAATCTCAAATAATCTCATTCCCGAGCTTACGTCGATTAGCTTATGACGAAACTTTATCGTACGAGAATGGGGGATGTAATATCTCATTTCCAAGCTTATATCAATTTACTTATGGTGTACTTTCACGTACGAAAACATGGGGTGTAATAGTTTTGTCCCACCGGGTTTTCCTTGCAAGGTTTTTAACGAGGCAACCAAAAGGCGTATTTCTAAACATGTATACTCTTTTTCCTTCACTAGGATTTTTTTTCCCATAGGGTTTTTTCCTAATAAGGTTTTAACGAGGCACATTATCTATGGACATTCAAGGGGGAATGTTATAAGAAAAATCAAATTATGGTGGATGTCTACTCTTCCTCCATGATCTTCTCAAATGCTTAATGACATATTCAATGACATATTTCTATGCTTAATGACATATTCAATGACATATTTTTTTTATTTTTCATGCTTATATAAAGGCCTTGTAATAGATAAGAAAATACACACAATTGAAGAAGAAAATCTCTTCCTTCTCTCTATCTCCATTTCTTGTTCATGTTTGACTAAATTACTTTTATTTCATAACAACATTTCTTGTTCATGTTTTACTAAATTGCTTTTATTTTATAACAATTATAACATTAACGAAATTAAGGTAGAGAGGTTATTATATATGTTACAAAAGCTGGGTATGTAAGAATCAAGGAATAACAAGAAAAAAGGCGTTAGTCCAATGGTCGAAGACTAGAGGGGTTTTAAAGGAGTAGGCACGGCTTAGAAGTAATAACATATTCTCAGCAGTCAGCAGCCAATTCTGCTTTGCTATTGCGTTAGCAGTTAGCACTATCATTATATATTATACACATCAGGATTCATAATCAGTGAGTTTAGCATGAGTTTAATCTTATTATATGCATAATTTGCATATATACACATAATTCGAATTAAAAAGAAAAACAACAGATTGACTCAAACCAATAGGACCTGACCAAAAAATCGCCTTTGTATGTATAATATATTGGACTACAAACTACAGTCTTAGTGCCTCCAGGATGTTCCAGGTAGCTCAGAAAAGTTAAGACATTCTAGAAACATTGAATGTCCAAACTTATGTAGTTAACACCCTCTATTGGTACAGAGAGTACTGAAAGAACCAGCAATGGCGGACAGTGAGGAAAGAGCAGCCACACTTTCTTTTTCTTCCAAAATTGCAGTGTTTTCAGTAAGCTTCAGTAAATGAAGCCATCATTGACACAAAAATACGAGTAAATGAGTCAGTTATATTTTAGAAACATAGATAACTAACATAATGCCAAAGAGGAAACATAGCATAACACAACTATATACAGGCGCATCCCAGGTTGATCATGTCAATTCTTGCCGCGCCAAAGGCAAAGAGTGAATTATAAATAAAAGATGGTTAAAATTCTCATAGAACATATCTACATATGTAACATTTTACAAGAATTTTTCTATGGAAGTCGTCAAGGTAGTTTTGGGGACTGCACCAATAACTGTATCTTTCTTCTCTCCGTCCTTGAAAATCATGACTGTTGGAATACTTCGGATCCCATATCTGGTTGCAATGGCAGGACTTTCATCTGTGTTCACCTTGTAGAATTTAAACTTGCCAGCAAATTCCTGTGCTAGTTCGTCAACAGTAGGGTGAATCATTCGGCATGGTCCACACCAGGGAGCCCAAAATTCAACTAGAACAGGCACATCAGACCCAATCACAAGTGACTCCCATGTTTGATCAGTAACAGGAGGCACTGCATTTTCCAGTGACCATGTTAAACAAACAAAGAAGCTGACAAAATAACGGAGACGCTGAGAAAGCAACGGCTTTAGCAGCCTGAGATGTTTTGTGTCATGCTAATACACAGCAACCAAAAATTACCAATATAATGAAACTGATGCATTATATTAGTTATTAGTCCTTTTTTTAAAAAAAATATATTAGTTATTTCTCCTTGTAAGGAGTTAGAAGGCCGCCGACAAATTTGACAGCATACAATGATTTTTTTTAACTAGGACAATTTATATAACAAGTGCAGCCCCTGCACTCTTTCACACAAAAAATAGTCATTCATCCCCTCCCTTTTGGGTGAAGAATGAAGAGAAGCATGGTATGAAGCAAACTATACGGATTCCTGAAATCTGAAGTAGCTCCACAACGTCAAAGAGAAAGTATCAGAGTATCTCAGCAATAATTGCTTAGTGATGTAAGCCATAGGAGTTTGAGTATTTGACAGCACGCCGGTACTAGTTTCTAAATTTTTCAAAGAATTATGTCATCACGAGCAATCAATATGCTAGCAAATAAGTACTTTTAAGAAGGTATGTGAAATTAGCAACTTCTTTAGGGAAAGAAAGCAAAGAGGCATTGTCTTATGACATTCAATTTGGGCTCAACCAAAAGATCTTTCAAAAACAATGGTAACATAGTGTTCTTCGTCCACATTTTCCTCTCTCTTTTTCTTCTTTATTTTCTTCACGCAGATATTATCGATTTATTAATATTAGTTTGTGAGCTTTGTAAGGGATGTTTAACACAAGTTAAAAACGGACCTTGGATGAAAGTTCTGGTACTTAAACAATATGAAGTATAGTTTAAGAGTCTTAATTATTTCCTCAAAAGTAAAGAGCCAACGCAATAAATTGCCATCTTTTCGATCCATTATCTTTTTGAGGTAAATACTTGATTGACTGATAGATACTTCCCCCTCGATTTAGAAGTAATACACTCTACAGAGATCAATTGACCAGTACTCATGGTTTCTAGAAAAATCCACTTTAGTTCAAGAAAGCAAAGCAAGCATACTTGAAAACCACTCCAAATTATAATAGCTCTATGCAGAAAAATCACTAAGCAAATTGCAAGTTCTTGTTTCGCTTCTATTGCAATACTACTAGGAAAGAGCAGTCGGCAAGCAAAATATTCAAGCACCAAGGTTCAGCACTCTGTTTTTAGTTGAAAGTGGCAATGACTCAATCTTCAAAGTCGAAGTTATATGACAATGTAGAGCTCAGTATCCAAAGAAGACACAAATGGTACTCTATTTTTGGTTGTCTCGCTACTCATGCTCGCATAGCAACAAGCATTTTCAACTAAACAAACAAACAAGTCCAACACCCAAAAGGCCAACATATACACTAGATTAAAAAGCCATACTTATTCGGAGTTAGAGATCATCTAATTGACCTCCTTTTCAGAGTCATTAAATTTCTTTCTTTTACTTATATTTTGCTCAAGCTGCTTAAACGAGTAGATGTTACTAGCCTTTACACTCTCCAAATTAATTCTCCCATGGCTTATTTAGTGATGTAAGCCATAAGAGTTTAAATTTTTCAAAGAATTATGTCAATCGTAGAAACTTGATTTACTCTTTGATATGCAGTTGAATATTCAACCCGAATGTCCTGGAACTGATATTCTAATCAATTTTTGAGATTGTAATATTATCTGGTAAAATAATTGACAATGGCAGTTGTAGATGGCTGAATCTCAGTGAATCATGATAGCTAGTGGTAAAGCTAGAAATTTATACAAGAGGGTTTAATTAATACAAGAATGTCACAATTAGGATTTGAACCTGTGACCTAAAGCACCTTCGAACCCCCTCTTATGTCAAAGAGGATCCAACAATTCTTTAAAAATAAATCATTTTTGCCCAATTTGTGTAGCATAATTTTCTAACGAAGAGATTCAATTGAACCCCTTACTTATACCTGGCTCTGCCACAGCGACAGTCTACTCTACCACTTTACAATACTCGTTGGGTATTTAAGCATTTCAACACAACAACAATTACGAGGGTAGTGTGTACCCTTATCGTGGAGGTAGAGAGCTTGTTTCCAATAGACACTCACTTAGGAAAGCATAAGCACAAAATAGCAATACAATAAACAGTAAATTTAAAGGGAAGACAAGAAATAAAGACCTAGAACGGCAGTGTCCTGAGCCTCACAAACGATTGCTCCTCTACGGGGAACAGATTTAGAAAATGAGCTGAAGGAACGAGTCTGCTGGATCTTAAGCCCCTTGAATACGGAGAATCTAACAGAGGACCGACGGCAGGAGAGGGAAGAACCGGCGACAGGAGCCAACGATGCCGACGGCAGAACAGAGGCGCGAGGAACTGCAATAGTTTCCATTAAACCGGCCATTGAAATGGAAAATTGGTGGATAAAGTCGATCTGTGGCTGAGTGGAGTTTCGGTTTTGGTTTTGGGGGGTGATAAAATAATGGATGAGGTGATGATGTGTGTGCTCGTTGATGATTGGATGAGGAGTTAGTGTTCAGCTGTCCACGTGTCTCTTTCACTTTGCTTTCTGGAATTTTTTATCTTTTGTCTTCACTTTTGTGCTAATATAATATTTTTATTTCACATTATTTCTTTTAAAATACCGTAATCTACTACTAATATAAAAGAGGATAAGCAAATACCTAATTTGCCACGTACAAAGCACCGCTTCTAATTTTGTTACAACTTAATTTTATCTCCGCTGCATTGCTTTGCTCTGCTTCTGTTTAGTACCGAGCTGCAGGGCACAACAACAACGATCCAATATAATTTTATTAATGAAGTGTAGAGAGGATAGTGTGTAGAGACTTTACCCGTACCCTGGAATAGAAAGTATGTTTATAATAGATCTTCGGCATCCTTCTCTCCAACAACTCCCCACTATATTGTTTGGGTGATTCGAACTCACAATCTCTTTGTTAGAAGTGGGAGGTGCTTGCTATCCTACCAACCCACCTTGTCAAAAAGCTGCAGGTGTTTGATAAAAATCCTCTTTCGGCTTTTATTGTGTTTTCCTTTGTTCAAAGCTTCATCTATACTTAAATTATGTCCCAAGTGTAAGGAAAAACACCAATTCCTCAAAGTTAAAAACTTCATGCAACAGAACTTGTTGAAACTTTGATACGTTAGCATCCACTTCCAAATAATTCCACATATGTTTGCAATAACTAAAAAACAACGAAAAAAGGAAAGAGGACAGCATGAATTGCCCCAAAAGCCAGCAGACCTCACCTAACAATTCAACGAAATTAAAGCAGTTAGCCTCTTTCAATTCACATCTACCACAAAGAGCAGGTTTATTCTAATCACTCCCGCATTTCATTTTATTCCTGCTTTCTGTTCTACTTTTTCTTCTTCTGCAAAAAGATCAGATCTTTAGGGTTTTGGCTTGATTAGCAATCTTTTCTTCAGTTTACTCTTAAGATTAATTTCTTTCTTCAGGTTCCATAGTTGCATATTATCTGGATTGAGGCGCAGTTATTATTGTTGTGTTTTAGTATTTGGTGTTATTCACGTCGTATTGGCACCTAAATGATGATTAATGGTTACAGACTTGTGCACTTATGTAGTCATGTGAAAAGGAACCTGAATGTAGTGTAAGAAATTGTGAAACTTTGACCTCCAAGATGAAATGACCTTGTTCTTGTCCTAATATTCACAATTCTCTGTGCGGAACTTATTAGGACATCCTATTTATGGTTTTACCTCAATGTACACTGTGATTGGTGAATTGTTCTTAACCTTGAAAAGATTGGAGTCTTGTGGTTATTTCACTTAATTAGGACGAAGTCATACACAATGACATTAGAACTGATTCGAAGCAAAAGAGGTGGCAGGTACAGATTCAAATGGGTTCAACAGGTTGATTTTAACTTAGCATTTTGAATGGGAGCATAGAGATATACGTGAAAATCTCTAATGTTCCATCAAATATTAAAAATTGAACCTACAATGGGAGCAACGATGAATCTTGAATTTGTCTCTGATAGGCTACTCGTCAGCTTGAGTTCTTAACTGAGAGAAAATCAGAGGGCTTCAACACTTTTAGCTTAGGAAATGCTTTGGGTGTTTTCACAGCAGCATGATGTTGTGACTGGTACTGCAAAACAGCATACAACTAATGACTATGCAAAACGCTTGGCTATTGGAGCTTCTGAGGCGGGCTCCTCTTATTCTTGAACTTAATCTTTTACCTTAAACTTTAATTTCAATTTTTTTTTTGGTTGATGTTATATTCTCAGTTCTTTTCATATGCCCGATTTTTCAGTCAGAAGTTGTGGTCAATTCTGCTCTATCATGCCTGGTTAACTCCACATCAGGTCCCTGTTCTACCACTTCATCATTATTCAACCAGATGAATTTTTCTTACTTGATCTCCCTTCAGTTTTGCAAGCTTAAAAGTAGAGCTTGAGAACTAATTGTTAATAAGTTCGTTAAATTTTACACAACAATCACATGTAGATAAAAAATTATTGAAGTTTCAGAAGTTTCTCTGTACATTTTTTTTTCCTTCCAAAAGTGACATGTTTGTTCTAACTGGATATCCTATACCTTAGTATCCCCCAAAAGAAATGAGCTTTCGGGAAGTTGGAAATTAGGCATGAGGTCTTAAATAACTCCGAGTTATCTGACACATTGTTCTTTTCCATTTTCTTTCATTCCGTGAATAGTGTACTGTGAATTTCATTACTTCTCGAAATCATGTTATCGACTGCATTTGGGATCAAGTTTTCGGCTGCCTTGGTTTGATCTGTCTGCTCTTTTATATATTTGTTTTTGGATAGAACAACATTGCCAATAGAGGTAGAGGGCAGGTGGGTAGGGACCATCCTAGAGGTGGAGACCAATCAGGTGGCGCTCCAACTAGGTTATATGATTTTCCAACCAGACCAGATACAGTAGCCTCAGATTCCATGATCACAGGTATTGTTTCTGTTTGCGGTAGGGATGCTTCGGTACTATTTGATCTAAGGTCTACAAATTCCTATGTTTTATTTCCTTTTACTCACTTTCTGGGTGTTCCTCGTGAGTCCTTGGGTACTCCTGTATATGTGTCCACACCAATGGGCGATTCTATTATTGTGGATCAAATCTATCGATCGTGTATTGTGACTTTCTATGGTTATGATACTAGAGCGATTTTTCTGTTGCTTGATATGACCGACTTTGAGGTCATCCTGTGCATGGATTGGTTGTCTTCATATCATGCTATCTTTGATTGCCATGTCAATACTGTTACCTTGGCGATGTTAGATTTGCCTAAATTGGAGTGTAAGGGTTTGTCTGTAAGTGCATCTAGTCGAGTTATCTCTTTCCCGAAGGCTCAACAAATGGTCGAGAAGGATTGTTTGGCTTATCTAGCTTATATTCGGGATACTACCGCAGAGACTCCGATGATTGATTCAGTGCACATGGTGCGAGATTTTTCCGATGTGTTTTCTTCTGATCTACCAGGCATGCCACCAGATCGTGATATCGATTTCTCTATTGATTTAGCTCCAGGTACCCAGCCTATCTCTATTCCACCGTACCGCATGGCTCCGAGAGAGTTGAAAGAGCTGAAAGAATAACTTGAGGAGTTGCTAGCAAAGGGGTTTGTCAGACTGAGTGTGTCGCCTTGGGGTGCACCGGTGTTGTTCGTGAAGAAGAAGGATGGGACTATGCGGATGTGCATTGATTACCACCAGTTGAACAAAGTTACCATTAAGAACAAGTACCCGTTACCACGTATTGATGATTTGTTTGACCAGTCGCACGGTGCCAGGGTGTTCTCTAAGATCGACTGGAGATTGGGGTATCATCAGCTGAATATTCATGATTTGGATGTTCCGAAGACGGCCTTCCGGACTAGATATGGCAACTATGAGTTTCTAGTGATGTTCTTCGGCTTGACTAATGCCCCGACGGCGTTTATGGATTTGATGAACCGGGTATTCAGGCCATATATTGACTCATTTTTCATTGTTTTCATTGATGACATATTGATTTACTAACTTCGCATGGAGGGGCACGAGCAGCATTTGAGAGTGGTGCTTCAGATCTCGCGGGAACATAAGCTATATGCTAAGTTCTCCAAGTGTGAGTTCTGGTTAGATTCTGTGGCATTCTTAGGGCATGTTGTATCAGGCGAGTGTATTAAGGTAGATCCAAGGAAAATTGAGGTAGTTCAGAGTTGGCCTCGTTCTACCATAGTGACCGAGATCAGGAGCTTCTTGGGGTTAACAGGCACATTACACATGCCATGTGCGGTCCGCACTTTTCTTCAGCTTGAAAGGATTGGAAATCTACGGCCGTATAATTCTGGTCTGCGGTCCGCACAATTGTAAGTGCGACCGCACCTTGTTCTTCTACGGTTCGCACAAATGTGACTGCGGCCGCGTAGCTCTTTTTCGGCGGCCGCACAATAATTATGCGGACCGCACTTTTGGTGGACTTGAGATGCAGGTTCTCTGAACTTTTGCTCTAACCCAGCTTCTACGGCCGCACACTTCATGTGCGGACCGCACTTTGCAACATTCTCTGATGGAAGATTCTTCATAACCTATGGCCGCAGATGATATTCTGCAGTCCGTACTTCTGAGTTTTTGTGCCTGTTTTTGTTCTTGAGTTCAGATTACTCCTTCTTGAGTTGGATTTTATCTCGGGAGATCATCTTCCAATATTCCTGCAATTAAGCACATTTCATCAGTTTTCGGGAACACAATTAAGTGCTTTTGGACTAAAACAAAAGCTAAATTGCGCTAATAAGTAGTCAAAATCCCCATTTTTCAACTCCCCCAAACTTAAGATTTTGCTTGTCCTCAAGCAAATAAAGTAGTTCCCACCTCCACAAGCTAGGAGCCATTCCAGCTAATCCAAAGTGAACGAATCACACATCAATTGGGTCCAACAATTATCCATACCACCTATGAATTATCAACAAGGCAACAAGTTAAACTTTTAAGCACAAATAGTTCTAGTGTGACACTTGAGCATCAAGAGTTCACATTGTTCATCAAGGAAGCTCCCTCTTTCATGTAGGTCATTGTGGATCCCAAGCTCCTCCTCCTCTACTCTCTGTTTGCCTATCTCGCTTAAGAATATAGCAATCAATCCAAAGATTTGTGAAAGGCTCTCTCATCTCTCTCAAAAGAATGTCGCAAGTACGACTTTAAGTACCATAGGCTTTCCCCTCATGTAAATCACCACTAATGTAAGCTCACTCGACTTGAAATCACATAGGGATTTTTCGGAAGGCAATGAAGGCTTTTGGACTAAGGTTTGAAATGCTATGATAGAACGGCTTCATCTTTCCTTAAGCACTCCATTTTCTTTTCTAGGATCATGCTTTGCCAACTCTTTGAGGCATTTTCTTTTCCTTAAGGGAACTAGAGAGACTTAACATCACTCTTTATTGGTCATGATATTCATTTTCTCCTTCTTTGATTTCTCCATGCTTTGCATCATTACTTTTCTTTGAATCCCTTCAACTCTACAACTTATTCACTTTCTTTTTGTATTTTTCTTTTTGTTCTTTCTTTTTCTTGCCTTTTCTTCTCTTCATTTCTTTTTTCTTTTGTGCCTTGATACCTTTCTCAAACTCCTCGTCTCTCCCCCAAACTTACATTTTTAGCCAATTATTTCACAAGAGTGTCAAAAAAAGCTCGAGTGCCAAGAGAGGGTCACGACAAAACGGGTAAAGGCTTATTACATGGTTATCAAATGAGAAAGGTCTTAAGCTCGAATGGGTTGACTAGGGATAACAACATTGGCGGGCAACAAAAATTTTCAAGCGGGTCAAGGAGAGCCTACAATCACTTCTCAAGCCCAGCAAAACTTAAAATTTCGCCTAGAAACACATTTGGGGCAAGTTCTAGACCATTCGCCCGGGAACTTGGACTTGCAACAACAATATCTCACCTCTCACGCAGCTGGATTGTTAAAGAGAATAGAGTCGAGGGCCCACAACGACCATATTCAAGATTGAAAATTACTATGGTTCGACTAAACCACTCGATAATTGCCTAAGTCGACACAAGAGTCAAAAGGTCACTAACTAGAGCTATTTCTTTCCAAAAACTTTGTTTTTAACCATAAGCACGTAGTTAAGTGAGTTAGTACCAAGTGAAGCATGTTTGACTCTCCGAGCATGACTCAATTAAGTCTTTTTATTCATTATTACTACTATTATTACCTAAACACCAAAAACGGACTCAATCCCTTAAGAAGGTTGTCACGCCATCCATCGTTGGGAAGAGCCACCCGGTTCACACAAAAACCACCTTTGTAAAGAACCGTGGCATTAAGAAAATTAAAGGCTTATTATCCACTAAGACATAAAAAGAAGCTATTAAATAAAAAAGAAGCTACTAATTCAAAAAGAAGACAAACATAAAGATAAAGAATCTTTAAAACAAAAGAACTATTGAAAGCTAAACGAATATGCATAATCAGAGATAAGAGGGAATATATACATAATGAGAAAGAGGAAAAAAATTGTAATAAGTTAATTAGAGGCCAAATGTCTCATAGTTATCAAAATACAGAATCATCAGAATATGTCAAAGAAATTTCACCCCCCCCCCGAATAAAAATAAGCATTGTCCCCAATGCTTAACAACATAAGAGTATGAGAAGTGTGAGAGTGAAGAAAACTCCTTATGGCTCTGTGGCCATCTCTGTGTCCCCAGCAGTGGCACCGACCTCAGCATCATCTAATTGGATATCATCATCCTCAAGTCCGGGAGTGGCT